TTAAGTTAGCCTTAAGCGGGTTGACGCTTCCTACTCAACAGCTTCCAACAAATATGATCATTTATTTATTTTAAATGGCGGGCGTTTGGATAGATATCATTAGCCATTTAGCTGACTTCAGACTTCACAGAGAGAAGGTGGGGAACAGAAGAGCGATTCACAGATGTAAAAGAGGCAGACAGACACAAAGGTAGAGAAAAAGGTGGGGTGAGTACTGTGGAAGAAGTCGAATATGACATACAATGGGGTGAGGGTAGTTTGAAGTCAAAAGTCAAATGCCGGTTAATAGACTTGTTTGCCGTATGAGTATACGTTGCCCAGGGTGCACAACGTGGAGGTAAGTCTATCGCACACTTCACAAATATGATCATAAGGAAGTATATAAACACGCGAAACAGTCAACATTTAGCCTTCATAGATGAAGAAAGACATTTTAACTTCAATTAATGCCAGTAATAAATCTAAAAAAAAACGGATCAGTATTTTGGTGACTTTAAAATTTTCATTGGTAAAGTAGCATTTAGAATAGTTGCAGATCATATCAATAGGTAATTTAATTAGATTTTCTTTTCATGATTTCCTTTTCGATTAATTTCGAATACAAAACATTCAAAATTGAAAGTAATTCTCAATCATATAAATGGAAAATATTCCTCTCCCCTCCTTCACTACCCCAACAAGTTTCTCTTCAAAAATATACGATCTTATGTGAGTTGAAAAGTGTTTTTTCCTTTTTCTACTGGGAATATGCATGCTGTTCCCCTTCCATTCAGGTTTAATGATGAAAAATGCCCCACACACAGTTTTTATTAATAAATACACAAATTTCAGATAAGTTAATTGAAAGAGCACCAAGTTTAAGAAAATGTGGTGTTGATATCACCATTTTCATGATACATCTTTGTAAAATAAAAATGAATAATAATTTAAGACAAACACGGTACTGCCCACTTTAACCAGTCAAACCTGGGCCTATGTCCAGACGCTCTGTTTAATTGACAAGTTCATTATTGCCATGGGGCCGAAACTTAGACAGGATTGCAAACTGGGAGGTGGCGGGGGGGGGGAGATAATGTCATGTACAAGGCAGTGCTTTATACAGCTCAGAATTTTGCCCTGAGTTAAATCTATCTATAATTACTGAAGAAAGTAATTTTGCTGCCTCAACTTTTTCTACTCTTTCATTGCATAGCTTCCTTTGGTTGACGCAAGTCACTCAAATAGAACCCGTTGTGAGCGTATGGGTGAATTTGTTCGGACAGCGACAAAGGCGGTGGAGTTGCATATTGCTTTGGTGCGTCTGGAAACACTCAATTCCTCCCTGGTTGAGCTTTCACAATCTGTTGACCTGATGGTGGAACAGGAATTTGCAAATGTCTCCACTGGTGCTACTAGTTTGATCAACGCCTTTATTAACCCACTTTATGGACGACTCCCCGCAAGTGTTAATAAAACAAAAATGAGTTCTGTTCGTGGAATTTGTGAGGGGTTAAGACAGGGTCTTTCTCTTGTATCTCGAACCAACACTCTACTGTCTAGTGAATTTCATGATCTGGTGCCTATTCCTAGAAATTCTCAAAAACTTTCATTGATTGTCATCTCTGTACTTATTGCTGCAAGTCATATAGTGAATTCTGGTCTTCTTCTCTTATCCCAATCTGATCTTACTCGGTATACTCACGCAGAACTCTGGGAGATTACTCGAGGAATTGAAGAGCTTAGCATGCTAACTGAACGAGTCCAGGAACAGTTAGATGAAAAGAAGCAACTCCACCTTCGTCAGCTTCTTCTGAACGGTCGCCTCTTTGCCAGTACCTCTAAACAATTAGAGCAAAAGCTTTCTGAATTATCCCTTCTTACTGATCCGATAGATAGCTTACGACCAGCTTCGGTTGGGCATATCATCTATCTCCTGGCTCGTTATCGCTCAACAACTTTGGCTACTTTCCACGTGCTCGACCTTTTGAAAGCTTTAAGAAGCTCTAGTGGGATAATCGACTTTCTTAACGAAGTCGTTAGAAAGGAATATGAGTTCTGTTCAAACTTTCTCGATGTCATGACACAATCCACCGAACTTCTGAGGAATCTTAAAAAAGTGCAGGAATCTGTTGACGGACATCCTAAAAGCATTCTACACAAGACTGATTTAGTAAGCTCTGTTCAACGTCTTAACCTCAAGGCCCATAGGAAACCTGTGTGCATTGCAAAAACAGTCTCCATTGATAAATTTATTTCCACTTTCCCTGAAAGGACCTCTAAGCGGGTCACAGCCACCACGCCGATTGAGGAAGGTGATGAAGAGGGTGGAGAAAAACTGCAGAAGAAAATTGTCCAATGGAGTGATTATTATGAGGTTACGTTAAGACATCAGGTTGTTGGACGATATTTACAGCTCACATGGATTGGCTTAAGCGAAGAATTCGATTCCTTACTTCAGCTTATTGTTCCAACAGACTTGAATATACCAGCAAAGATACTTCCTCCTTGGCCATTGTTGAACAAACAAGAACTTCACCAACTGACCTGCAGACTTCAGGAGCTTGAAACACAAGGTATCTGTTATTTCTACACTGATGACAATAATACCAGCGAGAAAGCATTAATCGTTAGGATACGGAGTTTAAAGTCACTTCTGAATGAATTTTTTTTAAATGATAACTGATGTATGTATAATATTACTACATTTGAGAACTTAGGTTCACTTCGTTAGAATGATAACGCTATTTTTTCAACCTAGATTGGTTATTCCTAAGTTATTGGATACATTTGTCATTAAAATTCGGTTCTTTGTACTTTCCGCAAGTTAATAAAATAATCGATATTTCAGATATTACTAAATATTAATGCAATATATAGAGGTATTGACTATAAAATTACCAGTTAGATAAATTTCAGAAAGAGGAGACTTTTATTGCTCTAATTCGAATAATCTGATTCTCACTAGTAGGAATTGCTGCAAGATATGGCCAAATACAATATTTACAGATCTTAGCTAATTGAGCGGTTTTCCAAGAGTACTTTAAAGTACCCATTTAGAAGCAACCATTTTAGACCCCTATATTGGCAAAAAGAAAATGATTTCATGTGAAAATTAACTAACTAAGCATAATTATTTGTACTCGAAAGCACTTTTCCATCGATGGAACCATTTAAATATTTATTTACATCAAATGGCCGGCTTTATGATCGTTATTATTAGCCCTTTAATTGACTTCGAGCTTCACAGAGGGGTAGAACATCAAAGCCACAAAAGTCGTGAGGAGGAAGAGAAGAGTGATTCATAGATGCAAAAGAGATCAACACAAAGCTAGAGAAAAGGTAAGGTGACTACTGTGAAAGTGGTTGAATTTGACATACAGTGGGGTTATGGCAGTTAGAATTTGACTTCTTACTTAAAATCATTTAAAAGATAAATTTTTGAATATTTTTGTTATGGGATTATCTCATTCGGAATAAAATCTAGATCCCACATAGCTATTTTAAGTAATATACTTAAACAAATGATAGTAATTATGGCATAATTTAGAAATGGGATAATTGCTTTCAAAACAAAACTTATCGGGGTGAAATTAGAGGCTTTTATCATATTTGAATTTGAGTTCGAGTTATTTGGACTCCTATCACCAGGGCACTTAATATGAATTTGAAGTATATTTTGGCTCAAGATTGAACAGTGGCATTCGTAATCAAATTAATTTCAAATTATTTCGATCTGTCAAAGCAAGGAATTTAAAATATTTGTGTCAGACCTGTCTTCGGAGTGGTTAAGCTACCATTAGTCTCTACTGGATAGATAATTTTCTTTCAATGAACGATTGTAGGACTTTAATGTCTAATGGGATTTAAAATAATCTAATTTCCTCGAAACGTCGGAGGCGTTTGAAAAGTTAGTTGAGTGAATTACTTGAACACACTAATGCTTTTCTTGCACCATTTTCTATAATAGACTCCAAGTAATGTACTATTTAATTACTTTGAGCTATTCTTTTCCTATCGATTTTTATAGAGTATAATTCCGATACTTACTAGACGCTAATTGAACAGAAGATTATAGTGAGAATGAACTAATGTTGCATGCCTTAATAAAACCATTGTTATAAAATAAGGAAATTAAGCAGTCCCTTTCAGTCCAAAATTAACCATGATTTGATCAAATGTCAAAGCATATGATCAACTCTTAAAAGATCGGCCATTGTGGCTGGAAGTCGACAATAACCACGCAAAAGAAGCTTCTTTTTCGTGGTTCTACGCATAAATGCGTTATTTACGGTGAAACTGAGTAGGGTTGCTGTTGATTGGGATTAACCACTTTTTAACAGTCGCAAATAAACGTGGAAAATTTTCAATTTTCTCTCTCTCTGTCTCCCTATTTCCTTTCACAGTGGTTAATTTTAGTTCGATGACTGCTTTTTAAACGCAAATTGCCTAGCTACCTTAGCGTTTACTTAAATAATTGAAAGCAAGAAAATTTTTTATTGTTTTCACTCCATTAAAAGGTGTGCTTTTCGTTAATTACCTTTCATGGAAATAATGACGCACTTTAACTAAAATTTGATCACTTTGTTAGAGAGTCATACTGAGCTCCCTCTTTTACATGCAAAACGCGGGAAAATGGGTTCCATTTTTCAATCCAATTGTGATTTAGTTTTAATTTTCAAATAAATGAACTCACTATTCATGCTCGATTGCTCAATTTATACCTACCAGTAATATAAATAGTTCAAACCTGAACATCGTTCGAAAATATGCTCTAATCTTGAAAGTCAAAAACGTAAACTAATTAATAAAATGACACTATGACAAATTCTAACATTTCTTCCCCGTCGAAGATTACTTAAAAATAGTCCCCAAATCTAAAGATCTATCTAGTTCCTATTTCTTCAAAAGTGTCATTCAGGGGTGTGCTTATTCCAATATTAGACAAATTTGAACTGACTTGTGAAATTGGCGTTCACGAAAACACTGACAAATATGAATGCGTGACAAGTCGATCCATTATCTGCAATTCCCAAACATGCGTCTTTTTATCAGAACTTTTTCCCACTGGAATGCTTTTGAATGTCGAAGACATTATGACCCCAAGGACAATGAGTTGCCAAGAGCCAAATGGGTTTGGCAGAGATTAGTAGCTTTCAGGGCAACCTATTTCCATTCCTCATACATGTGATCATTTCGCCATCGTTTTACAAACCTTAATTTTTTCCCAATTAATAATGCTGCTACCAAAGGTTCGATTTTGCTCGTTTAGGTTCAACAATTTTAGGTGCTAAATACTTTTACTGCAAGTTGAATGCTATTAGAAAATGGCAAAGCAAATATAGATTATTCTTATACACAGTTTTGCTATCTTTGCATCAAAATTCACATGTTGTTAATGCCAGATTTTGTTTAAATCAATAAGTTAATGGAAATTATTGACTAATTTTAGATGGTATCCCAGTGCCTATTAAGAGCGGTATTTATCGGCAAAGACGAAGAATGAAAATCTATTCCAACTCGCTTGATTGGTTGACCTGTGAGTAAATCGTAAAACGCATAGTGGAGATTTAAGTTTGTATTCCAATGTTTGTTATAAATTTTAATAAATTGTATTTTTTTAAATACAATTTCAACTTAATATTAATCATTTTCATTTTCCCGAATGAACTTTGTTGCATTTTCATAAATGTGTGAAATTGAGAAAATAATTAACATTAAATTGTAAAATTAATGTTTATGTCATATTTAGTCATTTTTATCTGAAATAACTCTTTCTAGGGCTTCCAGAAAAGTGGATAATTGAAGAAGACAATTGTGACGTTTTCCGCACACCAATTTGTGGCTTTCTCAGGGATTTACTTTCTGAAATTCTCAACATTAAGTCAGCTGAAATTGACAATTGGCTAAACAAAATCCCAAGTGATGCCCGCAAATGCTTCGGTAAAACTTTTCACTAAATCACTCTTTAATTAATCAATGTTACTTTCCGTAAAAATCAATGTTAAAGTAGCGTTATAAAGTTTTCTTCTGAACTTGAGGTCAACTTGTGGATTTATTGATTAATTCTTAGTTAAACTTAGAAATGGCAAATTTCACCATTTTATATATTAATCATTGGTCATTTAAAGCATATTATAAGTTGAATTGCTATTCATTTGATGAACTTCATTTGTAATTAGGAAATTTTACTCCGATTTATTATTGATAAATAAAACATTTCATTAGTGATAAACGCTACACCAATTTATTAATGCTTCTTAATTAGAACGCCAGGCATATTTGTTTTATCGCTTGATTTATCCTATCCACTCTTCATTCTAGTGCGGTGAAATATTTATTTATTTCAAATGGCAGGCGTTTTTGTTTGTTATCATTAGCCCTTTAGGTGACTTCGTACTTCACAGATGGGAGGAACATCAAAGTGGGAAGAATTCAGGAGGGAAGGGGGGGGAGATTTAAAGAGACAGATGGACACAAATGCAGAAAAAAGGTAAGATGAGTACTGTGAAAGTGGTCGAATATGAAAAGCAGTGGGGTCATGGCAGTTTGAAGTCAGAAGTCAACTGCCAAATAATAGACTTTTGTCGTATGAGTATACGTTGCCCAGGGTGCATCACGTGGATGTAAGTCTTTTGAGCACCTCTTGTCTTGAAATATTTGCTTCAGAATAACTTTATTTAGTTGTGGTTTCTGAAATTGACCTAATTTGTCTGCATTAGCTGACTAAGGCACTAGGATATTGGGGTTTTTCGCATAAACTTCTTACGTTTTAAGGATTGGAAGATGATTTACACGTCAAACACGTCAAATGACCGATAGAAAAGTTTAAAATGTCTCTTCTTGTTGATAGTTGGACGGGCTGCTCAATATCGTGCTTAACCAGGTTATTTTTTGAACTTAGTTTCATATTCTGTCTACGTCTCTCGTTCAAGATGATTTTTCATACTAGACTTTTTGTTCAAATTCTTTTGGCTTTTAAGATATGAGATTCGAATTTTGGTAGCAATTAGATAAATATCATAAAGCCTGCCAATTGTTACAAGTAAGACAAAAAGTAACTTATTTCATTGAAATAAGTGAATCAGGGTTTCCAGAGGAATAATTGATTCACGACACCTTTTTTACAAAAGATTACTGCAAATTGCTATTAAATAATATTGATTTGATTAATGCGTTTCAAAAACAAATTTTGATTTAAAATTATTAATCCAATTTGTTTTTGTTTCATAATTAGACCGACTTGGACTTGATAACAGCACAATTTTACAAACAGAATTTTCTCATCGGCTTTTTCGAATCCATTTGGATCACTTCTTACGTCTGCTGAACAAATTCACCATTCGAGTACTGACGAAGTATCAGCAACTTTTAACCGAATCCCAAATAACCGCGAATTCCGCTGAGAGAATAACACAACTTGCTCTGAATTCATCCCTCAATTTCGCCTTTTGTCTTTCATTTCTCGATCTTCTTCACTTTGCAATCGACTACTTTTGCGTGTTCAAAGGGAGCCCAAGTAAAATGCTATTACTCTCCGATATTGTTAGCGCAAAATTTGAGGAAACATTAACTCTCTCGCGATTGGCCTTAATTGAAACTACAAACACAAAATTGAGGGTAGATTGTTGCGTGTTTTACTTATAAATAGAACCTCTCTTTAATAATTACTTACTTATGGGAAGCAGGGGAGATATTTCCCTTCTAGAGTTTTTAAAACAGTCTTTTCTTTACCCTCTACCAATATTTTTTGCTTAAATTTAAGCGATTTTAGCTGTTGACATACCAAAACAAAAATTCAACTTTCCTTATAATAGTAACTTCTTAAATCATTACGATTTCTTGCTTTTTAGTAAAGAAAGTTTAACTAGTTTAGAATTTAAAAATGTATGGTCAATTTTCGACTGTTTTTTTTAATGATTTTTTTATGCGATACTGAAACAGCAATAATAGTAATAACAATAATCAAATCAAGTCTCATACCAATCAAATCATTCTTTCAATTAAATTTTTGTTCTTTTTAACTTTATAGAATGCTCAACACACTATCGCCTTATCCCATGGTAAATATTGGAAAAATTTTGCAATTAAGCAGTCAACCAATCAGAGTACAAGAGCATTGAGTACTCCAGGGCCAAATGCGGCCGAGATTAATGAATTTTGTTCCATCATTTTGGCAGCGCTGAAGGTCTTTTCCCGGTGTAGGGGTTTTGGAACAAATGGAATTGAGGAATTAGAGCAAGACGAATCGGACAGGATCGATTTTCTTCATCAAGGTGCATACACAAGAATTTCTCAGCCCATAATTGATACGGCGCTGGTCTGCTTGGAAACCCGGTTTATTAAGACTACGTGAGTACATGCACTGTTGTGGTCTGAATATACCAGTTTAAAAGACATTTCATTTAATTTAGTATCTATAATTAGGACCATTGATCCTTCCATTTCACCTCGCATTTTATCTCAACGACTGATAGGCGAAATGGCCGCACACAATATTCGGCTACTCGCAAAATAAGCACCCACGGTGTTTATTTATTTACTTACTTCAAACGGCAGGGGTTTTGATAGTTATCATTAGCCCTCTAGCTGACTTCCGACTTAAAGGGGGAAGTAACATCAAAGAAACAGAAAGTCGAGGAGTGGGAAACAGAAGAGTAATTCACAGATGTTGAAGGGACAGATAGACACAAAGGCAGAGAAAAGGTAAGTTGAGTACTGTGAAAGGGGTCGAATATGACATACAGTGGGGTGATGGTAGTTTGAAGTAAGAAGTCAACTGCCGGTTTATAGATTTCTTTACCGTATGAGTATACGTTGCCCAGGATGCACCACGTAGAAGTAAGTCTACCGCATACCCCGAAATCCACGGTGTAAGGTGGCTAAAAATGGAAAATGTAGTGGACCCGAATGGGGAGTGGAGAAATTTTATGGCTTGTCAAATTAAAGCTGAAAATTAATTATTCATAAAAAAGGAGTCTTATTTCAGTAAAAATATGGAGTTTGGTCACACTGCACAATATTTCAATGTTCCAAAGTTTAGAAGCAAGACTAAGACCTTTGGATTTTTTTGAGTTCGTATTTGTTGAATAAGGGTATTTACTACACTTAAAATAGGCCGATTTATGCACATCTCGAAACAGATTTAATTTTTATTGCGCGATAGACTTACCTCCACATGGTGCAC